GCATGCGAGCACAAACGAGAGGGGCAGAAGGAGAGGGAGAGGGAATCCCAAGCCGACTCCACACTGAGCATGGAGCCAGATGCAGGGCTTGATCTCACGACCCTGAGATCACGTCCTGAGCTGAAACCAAGAGTCAGTCACTTAACTGACTGCACCGCCCAGGCACCCCTCAAAACTCTCATTTTTAAACTCTGTGTATTACTGTCTCAAATCAGGAGGATTTGGTAATTTATGGAATGTGAGGGTGGGGGAAGGAGAATCAGAGAATTGGGAGGAGTGTTCCAGATTAGGGAAATAGGCAGATAGATGAAAGGTGGAGCCGCTCCCCAAAATGGGGACATAGGAAAAGGAATGGGTTTGAAAGAAGGATGATGATTTGGTTCTGAACATGTTGATAGGGGATATCCAAGTACGATGTCTTTAAATGGGCGGGTGCTTAAAATATGGAGCTTCAGAGAAAGTGATTGAGGCTAAAGAAGTCTGTATCTAGGCAGCAGAGGGGCATGTGAGCAGCAGCAGCAGGGGATGGGGAGGTGGGTAACAGATTTTCTAGAGAAGAAGATGAGCGGTGAAGGCAGTCAGGGATAGAATCTGAGGCACCTGCAACATTTAAGGGACCAGTGAATGAAGAGCCCTTGAATGAGAAAAAGAAACAGTTCAAGGGGTGGTAGGAGAATGAGGAGAGATTAGGCCACAGAGACCAGAGGAGAAGGAAGTGTGGTGAAGGAATGGTAGCAGTGCCTAATGCAACAGAGAAAGCACATAAGGTAAGAACTGGAAGTTACCACTGCATTTGGCAATTAGGTCAATGTAAAATCAGCTGGTGGGAATGCAAAATATTATAGCCATTTTGGAAGACAGTATAGCAGTTTCTTGTAAAGCTAAACATTTTCCTAACATATGATTTAGCAGTGGTATTCCTTAGTATTTACCCAAATGAGATAAAAAAGTATGACACACAAAAACCCGCACATGAATGTTTATAGCAGCTTTATTCATAATTGCTAAAACTTGGAAGCAATGAAGATATCCTTTGATAGGTGAATGGATAAACAAACTGTGGTACATCTGTAGAATGGAATATTATTTAGTGTTAACAAAAATGAGCTATCAAGCCATGAAAAGACATGGGGGAACCTTAAATGCATATTACTAAGTGAAAGAAGCCAACTGAAAAGGTTATATACTGTATGATTCCAACTACATGACATTCTGGGAAAGGCAAAACTATAAAGATAGTATTAAGTCCAGTGGTTGCCAGGAGTTGGGGGGAGGGAGGGATAAATAGGTAGAGCATTAGGCCTGTGAAACTATTCTGTGTGATACTATAATCGTGCATACACCTCATTATACATTTGTCCAAACCCACAGAACTATACAACACAAAGAAGGAACCCTAATGTAAACCATGGACTTTAGTTAATAATAATGTATCAATATTGACTCATCAATTGTAACAAATTTTCCACACCAATGCAAAATGTTAATAATAGGGGAAACTGGCAGGGGGTGGGGGGGTATGTGGAAACCCTTTGTACTTTCTGCTCAGTTTTCTGTAAACCTAAAACTGATCTAAAAAATAAGATCTATTGATTAAAATAAAAAGAAAGGAGGAAAGAGGAACGGAAGGAATAAAAGAAGAGATATACAAAGGAAGAATGAGAAAGAAAGCCATGTGCATACAATCTTCAAAGTGTAACATGAACCCATGATGATAATTAATCCAATTCTTGGAAATCTTGAATTCTAAGTTGAGTAAAAATATGACTCGTTTCTCTTGTGCTTACCAACTTCTAGAGCTCCCCATCACAAATGCAAGATACAAACTAATGTCTTTGGCATGATATGAAATTTTTTTCACAGCCCAACTTTGCAACGTGATCTCTGGGTCATCACCCATGTATTACAAGCTTCAGGTGCAACAGTCTCTTTGCTTGTCTTTCCCACTCATGACATGCACTTCCAGACTACTCTGCCTTTTTGCTCTTGCTGTTTCTTCTGCCTATTTCCTCTCCCTTTCTCTAGCTAACAAAATCATACACATCCTCCACCACTCATCCCACACCTACCCTTCTCTGTGAGAACTTTGCTGATTCCTTTCACCCCTAGCACACTAAGCAAGAAAGCTCCCTCTCCCGGTTTCTGTCTTTCTTTGTGCCCATCTCTTCAATAAATGCATAGTACAGTACAACATCAACAACAAACAGCTTAGTGGGAAAACGGGGGGGCAGAAAGAAGCCTGATCAAAGCAGATTTAAGAAGTGGGTGGAAGAAGTGTATGCATGGAAGGTAGATTACTGTGTGGGGATTGGTTTTATTATAATTTGGCATTGTTTGTTTTGGTTTGTCTTTAGCATTTGTGGTTTTACCCAACAGGGATTGAGGGTAGCGAAAAGAAAATTCTTGAGTGGCTGTGGTGCTGTCCAATGCTTGAGGTGCTGACGGACGTGCGGCACTGGGTAGGGTCTGTCTACAGATTGGTAATTCTTCTCCCCGGAGCGGTGGTCCTCTATTTTGAGGAGGGAGGGAGAGAGGAGAATGACTACATCCATTTATTATTTCATGGAGGTTCAGGAGCCATAGCCTGCCTCATCTGTGGGGGAAGAAGAAAAAGGTTTGCTGACTTCGTAGAGACTTACTTCCTCTTTTTCTCATGAGATCCACAGGCTTCTGAAGACAAGTTAATGACTAGAAAAAGCAATTAGTTTTTAGTTTTTCTATCATCCACTTAACAGACATTAAAGGCTAACAGTATTCCAGGAACCAAGCCAGGCACTGGAATATAAGATAACCAAAACAGGGTTCCTGTACTCAAGGAGTTTAGTCTAAGCAGGAAAATCAACCTTGAGTCCATGCCAGCAATTACACGTGAGGGGAGCTGTCTTAGTTCAGGCTGCCAGAACAAGATACCATAGACTGAGTGGCTTAAATAATAGAAATTTATTTTCTCACAGTTCTCAAGGCTGGAAGTCCAAGATCAAGGTCCAGCAGGGTTTGGTTTTCAGTAAGGACTTTCTTCCTGGCTTACAGGTGGCCAGTTTCTTGCTATGTCTTCATATGGCCTTTCCTCTGAGAATGGGCGTGGTGGGGGGTGCAGATAGGAGAGTGATTAGAGAGAGTAGGGGGAGGGACTTTCTTTGATGTCTCGCCTGTAAAAACACTAATCCTATCAGATCAGGGCCCCACCCTTATGACCTCACTTTATCTTATTTACCTCCTAAAGGCACTATTTCCAAGTAGTCACACTGAGGATCATGGCCTCAACATATGAATTTGGGGGAGGGGAACACAACTCAGCCCATAACAGGAGCTTATAGAAAACTGTAAGAACACAGATGAAGGCATGATCGCCTTGTCTAGGTAAAGAAGGCTCGGCGATGACTTGGTGTGGATTTTGAGCATGTGGGTATCAGTATATGTGATTTTGGTAGCCCCAGTTTGGAGGCTCTGGTGATCTAGCAGTGCTGGGCAGTCTACAAGTAACTATCATCCCATGTAAAAAGAAGAGGTCTCTATACCAGAAGCTTTCTGTCAATCATAACTTTATTCAGTGATATTCTTAGGCCTCTGATACTATTTTTATATGTGTTAACAGCTTTTCTTGATGGTAGAGTATGTCACAGTTTTCCAGATGTCACTCAGCCTTTGCTGCAAAAGCCTCTGTATGTCTCCTGCTGAGGGGATTATTTCAACGATTCAGTAACTGTCAGATTCAGAAGTACTGTACTTCACGTGGCTCCAGAAATAAGCATATGTGTTTCTTTGCAATAGTGAGGTGTGTAAAATGAGTCATGGGCTTGCTCAAAAGGGTGTTCTGCCCCTGTTGTCCCTGTCTTTTCAGATAGCATTTGGGGACCCCAGGCTCTGTGAGCAGCTAGGGCTGTACTGTCCTCATTGATAATATTATGTGGGGTACTATTCTCAGAAAAAGGAAATGTCCCAGAAGTTTTGAGAAAAGTAACCACTCCTTTCTTTATATTTGTCACATTCGGTTTACATTTCCCATTTGGCACCTGGCCTTTGGGGCTTCATTAAGACCTATCAGGGCCAGTTTCTTTAAGGTAGGGAGAGAGTCACATTGCTCCCTGTTTCTAACCTCACTTGGGAGTCCATGATGGCAGTATCCCAGCAGTGATCACTTTTGGATAAACCAGTACGATTGTTGTGTATTAAAAATAAGCTTATCGGGGCGCCTGGGTGGTTCAGTCGTTAAGCGTCTGCCTTCGGCTCAGGTCATGGTCCCAGGGTCCTGGGATCGAGCCCCACATCGGGCTCCCTGCTCAGTGGGAAACCTGCTTCTCCCTCTCCCACTACCCCTACTTGTGTTCCCTCTCTCACTGTGTCTCTCTCTCTCAAATAAATAAAATCTTTAAAAAAATCAAAAAAGCTTATCATTGTACTGGCACTTTGTCTGCCCAGTAGAATTCAGTCTCTCTGTAATGCACTGCCCTGAGTCTGGCTATTCTCCCCTTGGTATAAGCCAGATAATGGCCAAAGCAGAATCCCAGCCTCTTGCCCATAAGAGCTGCTACCCTCAAGGAAGTGGGGGCAAGGCCTTGAGCAGGGAGGGTGCTTGGAGGGTTTGCATTGAAAGTAATGTTCCCATCCTCAGGGCCAACAATTCTGGCTTTCAAAATAAGGAAAAAGTGGTAATATGGCTCAAGTCAAAATGAAAACCCTCTTCCTTTCTATGACTGCTCTAGTTGGGGAGTCAGTTTTCTGTTGCTTCAACAAGTGGTCTGGAGGACACCCCTGTGATGGTTAGGGCCATTGACAGCACTTGATCAAAACTTGACAGCTTTTCTCCCTATCTCCTCCCTTCCCCCTCCCCACTGAGACTCTGTTTAGAGGAGCATTTGTGAGACAAACTCTGGGCTTACAAACATTGAAACAGCTGCTCTCCCAGCCCCTTGACTGCTGTACTGCTGCAGTCACAGTGCTGGAACTCTCTGCCGAGGAGGGTGCAATGTCTGGATCTCTGCTGTTCCCTGTTAACATAAAGGCAGTTCATTACAGGTTTTGACCCTGCCTGCATTCTCCCTCCCTTACAACGTGCACATTCATCTCTTCTCCTGGTATTACTGCTGCCAGAATGCAAACTTCGTCTCTCTGTCATCTGAGCATCATTCAAAAGCATTCCGCCCATTTGTGAATTATTCCCTGACTCTTGATAGGGCAGTGTTACAGGTCCTCTGCCGGCAGAAGGGAGCAGTTCGACAAGACCTGAGGACCCAAGACTTTCAGAAGCTGTGATGAGCAGACTAGGAAGCCACAAGACATTGTGAGCTGACTGGATGTCTTAATAAGCTTTTAGATGTGATTTGGCCAGAGTTGGCAGAGGAAGCTCAAGGGAAAAAGGCGAGTAAATCGTTGCAGACCCACTGGGCGTGACAACCCTAGGAAGCTAATGATCTCTCCAGGAAAGAATTGACAGCAATTATCCAGCAACAGAACACCATGTAGAATGGGGAGGACAGACTCCCGGATGTGAGTACAATCTCTCTTCACTACAGGGTTTTGAGCAGTAGGAGCAAAGCAAGTTATTGTAACTGATGGTGCTCCCTAACCACTGGTTCTGGGTGTCTGTGGACTGTCTCTGGGTGGGCTGTGCATAATGTCCTGGCTGGGACTTTTGTTTGCCAGGTCTCTTCTAGAATATTTTGTCTGTCAGGAAACTGAATGTAGTGGTTTGGGGATATTGGTACCAGGAGACTTTGTTGTAAATCCTCAAGAAAACAGCAAGAGCAAACCTCATAGACCTTTTGCTATAAAAAGAAAACAGATTGCATCACAGACCAAGCAGCTGTTTGGCCCTCTGGCATTCGTGATGAGAGAAAAAAAGCATTGGCAAATTGGAATGCAGTGAAAATGGGGCAGTGGGCTGGGAGAAAGGAGGGAAATCTTTCTTAGGAAGCTAAATACTTTCTGGATTCAGGAAGCTCATTGAATATTTATGATCATGGATTTATTTCATTTCTGCTTAAAAACTGGCAGCATGTTTGCATTTAATGTTTTTCTCTGGAGCCCTGTGAAAGTGAGCATTGTGACAAAGAGGGATGTGATTGATAGATGTGGGGCAGAAGAAATTCCTCACCGCCAGCCGTGGGAAGTGTCTTGAATGATAGCTGATCTATTTGGAAGAGGAGGCTCAGATTTAATGAGGGAATGGGGCTGCCACAGCCTCGGGACCCAACAGGTTGGCAGGGGAGTTTAACTCATTGATTGCAGACTGGTTGCCACCTCTTTATTCGTCTTCCTCCCCGACTTCTTGTTGGGGGACCTCTATCCCCCTTATTCCTCTCCCTCAGCCCGCCTCTGCCTGGCCCGATTTGTTAGTTCAGAGGTGTCAGACAAGAAGCTGAGTATCCCCTTATTCCAAAAGGATGGAGGTGTAGAAAGGAAGCCAAAAAGAAGACTCAGCCACTTTGATCTCTTCCCACCACCTGTGTGTAAATGCAACTGTAGGTGAATGCTGGAGGTCCTACCAGCAAGCCTATTACTGGATTTAAATTGAGAATGAACTTGAGATGCCCAAGCACAAAGGGATGATGCTAGCTGCAGACTGGTAACTGGAACCTTGGATTCTGTTCCTGATTTTGCAGGCAGTTTTCTGTGCAATTCTAGTTGGGGGAAGTATCCAAAATCCTATAAGCAACATGTCCTGGAGCTGCCCTGTGCCTCTGGCAGGCTGTGCATTGGCCATGGTGGAGGGGGTCGGGTGGAGTGGGGTGGGGAGTGGGGAGCATTTCATTCTTAAGTAGCTGTAACTGAAAAGAAAAAAAAATTAAAAATAATTTTTAAAAATTCTGTTTGGCCAACATTTTTCAACTGTAGTGTTTTTCTATCTTGAAAAAAAAAGGAATAGTAATGTATGCTGGATTTACAAAGGGCTGTTTACCAAAGGTAATTATGTAAACAAGGCTATCTCAGAAGACTGCAACCATGGCAATAGGTGTCTAAGAGCTGGATTTATTGTCTGGGACAGGAGGGGAGTGGCTGTCCACGTACTATGGGCCTGCTGACCCACACATCTGTTGCTGGGGAGACTGGACAGCACTGCTGGTCTGCAGCTCGTGACCTTGGCTGATGGGCTGCACTGAGTTTGCAGCAAGGATATCTCTGTCTATCCCCAGGAGCTAAGCTCTGAAGTAAAATGAGTGAAATTTTAGTCATGATAACAGTATCTGTATGAACTGGGCCATTGTAGTTGAGACATTCAGATGCCCATTGCAAGAAAAGTTTGGGTACAGGAAGGTGGCCATTGAGTGCGCAAAGATAACAAATGAGTAAATGGAAGAATGTGGTTGTGGAGGGAGAGCATTTAGGAAGCCACAGCTAATATTGTATTTTCCTGCCTTTTGGGGCTGGAATGCTTTTGCAGTATTGGGGCAAACGGAACGGAAGCTTAGTATTATTGGTTTGAAGGTACCACAGATCATCCGAATAGAGAGACAGTGTATCCAATGTTTACAAAAACAAACCACTCTAAACAGTGGAAGGGTCTGGGAAACCTAAAGCCCAAACTAGTTTCTCACTGGGACCCTGGGAATCTCCAGTGGCATTTCCAGCTCTGTTTCTCTGCTTTGAATCTCAACATTACCCTTTCATTGGCTCATTCATTCAACCAAGGTTTCCGGTGCATCCCAGGGACCTCTGACCGTGGCTAACAGAGGAGTCCTCTGCTTTGGAGCATCCCTTCTCCAGGTTTGTTGTACTTCCAGTGAGCAGAGCAGGGTGGATTGGTTTGGGTTTTTTTTTTTAAGATTTATTTTTTTGAGGGGTGAGGGGCAGAGGGAGAGAAGGGAGAGAGAACCTCAAGCAGACTGAGCCCAGTCGATCCCAGGACCCTGAGATCTTGACCTGAGCCGAAATCAAGAGTCAGTTTGGGCCACCCAGGCGCCCTGAATCCTTTACTTTTGACATAATTACCAGTGGCTTTGGTTTGCTCTAATGGTGGCCCAGGGCTACTGATAGGAGTCAGTCTTTAAAATTCTGTCCATTTGCCATTTGGTGGAAAGAAGAGGTTAAGTTTACTGCTAGCTACTACCTCCAGACCACTGCTCTGAGTGGGGCTTTGCATCCTAGAGCTGGTTTTAGTAGGCCTTTTATTTCCTGTTAGGCACAGAAGCAACAGAAGCAGCCCCTCCCGGTGCAGTTGGCAGCGCGCACTGTCAGTGGTTCTAGCATCCTTGTTGTTCCCAAAGGGGGGTGTTCCGACAATAATTGAACTGGGAGATGGCCCGGGCCTGTGCCCAGCTCTCCATCTGTCCCAGAACTCAGGAAACTGCGCTGTTTACAGTGAGGCAAGGATGAAGCAAAGGAACTGCAGTAAATGCTGGGACAAAATCCCAAGGATTTAACCCACTCCTCAGGGTCTCCGTGGGGTGTGATCCACAGGCACCTTTACCTGCCAGCAGAAGCAGCGTGTTAGCTGTGGTGTACCCACAAAACATGGTCTAGAGGCCCTTTGAGATCATACATGGTATAGTTACCTGCCAAAGACAGGCCTGGAACCCCCGTGATGTGGATGGGATAATAGCAGGTCTCTGCTACCTAGGATGGAAGTGCTGAGCAGACCGCACGATTTTGGTTATAATCCTCTGGATAACGTCCCTGAAGCGGGAGGAAGGGACGGAGATTGGCACATTCTGCTGCCTTCTGTTTCCCAGTTCAGGGGCTTTGGTGTGCAGAGTGTGCTTCGTGCTTGTCCTGTGTTTACCCAGCTCCTGTCCCCTGCCATGAGCCCTCAGCAGATGCCCTGAGATCAGAGAGAAGAGGTGTGGCCCATCCTGTGTGCTGAGTGGTGCTGATGGCAACTTTGTTTTGTAATCCCTAGGTCCTGAAGATGGCATAGTAATAACAGAGGCACCTTCTAAGGATCGGGAGCATCTTGACCCGTGGGAGCCTGCCCGGGCCAGTGGCACCGTGTTGAGCTGAAGGAACTTGTCTACTGCGTTCCTGAAAACCTCTTTCTCTCCTAATTCATGAGCCAGCAGGATGCGGTCGCTACACTTTCAGAACGCCTTCTCATAGCTGCGTACAAAGGCCAAGCAGAGAATGTGGTTCAGCTCATCAACAAGGGCGCCAAGGTAGCAGTTACCAAGGTAACAAGAAGGAAAAAAAAAAACACTTTAGCCATTCCCTGGGAAAAAGCTTACCTCTTAATAACCATTGTCTGTACAACTGTTGTGTTTGGTTTGAAGCTTTCATAGAACTGGCTTCTTCTTTTTTCCGGGGATGACAGTTGGGGAGAGGGAAGGGGGATTAAAATGCTTTCAGTGCTATCTTTCAAATGGAGTGACTTGTAATTAGCATTTGACAGTCTTTAAAGTCACAGTGTGGCTTTTTCTCACCTACTTCTTTAGCTAAATGGATAAGAGATCTCTCTGGAGAAGTTGGGGTACAAAAACTTATTGGGAAGAATGTTTGTACAATAATTACATTAGACCAGCCTGTGGACAGGGCAGCCCATCTGCTGCGCAGAGCCTCACTGGTCCCGTCTGTACAGTGACAGGCTTGGACCAGATGACGGCCACCATCTCTTTGGGCTTTCATTTCATATGGGTCAGTAAAAATGTATGGTAAGCTTTGGAGGACATTGCTTACCCCCCACCAACAGATAATACCATGGGAGACGAGAGAAAATACTGGCCAATGGGCAGTTTTGTAGCAAAACGGAGGAAAGTCAGGCTGCAGAGTTAGGTGACAAGTTAAAATACAAAGAGGAGATAATGCTGATGGAAAATACTTATTGAGCACTTAGTATTGCCCTAAGGACTTTACAGTCCTCTAGACGAGGTTCTTTTTTTCATCCCCACTGTAGAGATGAGGAAACTGAGGCACAGAATGATATAAGTAACTTGCTCAGGGTCCTTCAGCTGTTGAGTGGCAAAATTGCTACTTGTACTTGCAGAGTCTGGCTCCAAAGCCCACCCTCCAGGCCACCCCAGATAGAGCTGTGGTAAGAAGCAAAGTTTAGTTTTCAAATGGTAATGTCTGACCACCAGTGGCAAAGATTGGCCACATTTTCAGTTACTCATATGCAGTCTCTATATTTTGTGATTCTGATGTGTGCTTTTTTGGCATCACCACGCAAGCAGTTTAACAGTTTAAGGTCTCAGTCCCACAAGAGTGCCTCCCTGCCCCCCCCCCGCCCCCACACAGATGCAATTGCGAAACACAGGTTATCACCTGTGCTTCTAACCAACTGGTTATAAATCAAAGGTTCCCACAACCCCCTCCTTGGGTTCGATTCATTTGCTAGAGGCAGTCACAGAACTCAGGAAGACATTTTGCTTACTAGATTACCAGTTCATTATGAAAGGATATGATATAACTGAGGATCAGCCAGATAGAAGAGAGACATTAGGGCAAGATATGAAGAAAGGGGCACAGAGCTTCCATGCTTTCTGAGTGCGCCACCCTCCCATCACCTCCATGTCGTTACCAACCCAGAAGTTTTCTGAATTCTCTTGGGTTTTTATGGAGGCTTCATTGGTAATTACTGATTGACATCCAACTTCCAGCCTCACCCCCCCTCCCTGGAGGCCAGGGGTTAGGACAGAAAGTTTAACCCTCTAATCAAGGTTGGTTCCCCTGGCAACCAGCCCCCATCCTTAGGAGCTTTCCAAAAGTTACCTCATTAATAAAAACTCAGGTGTGGTTGAAAGGGACTTACTATGAAGAGCACACTTCTTTCACTTTTTTGGATCTGGAGCTATTTCAGGAACTGAGGACAAAAGACCAACTACTGTAACAAAAGATGCTCCCATTGCTCTTATCACTTAGGAAATTCCAAGGATTTGAGGAGCCGTGAGCCAGGAATGGGGACTAAAACTAAATATATATTTATTATAAAGACATTCCATGCTCATGGATTAGAAGAAAAAATATTGTTAAAATGTCTATACTATCTGAAGCAATGTACACATTCAATACAATCCTTATTAATATACCAACAGCATTTTTCATAGAACCAGAACAAGCAATCCTAAAATTTGTTTGGAACCACAAAAGATCCCAAATAGCTAAAGCAATCTTGAAAATAGAAAAACAAAGCTGGAGGCAATCAGAATTCTGGGCTTCAAGTTATATATTACAAAGCTGCAGTAATCAAAAAAGTATGGTACTGGCACAAAAATAGACACATGGGGTGCCTCGGTGGCTTAGTCAGTTAAGCATCAGACTCTTGGTTTTAGCTCAGGTCATGATCTCAGGGTCATAAGATCGAGCCCTGCATCAGGCTCCACACTCAGCAGGGAGTCTACTTGAGATTTGCTCTCTTCCTCACCCTCTGCTTCTCCCCATCCCCACCCCCCCAAATAAATAAATAAGTCCTTAAGAAAATGGACATATAGATCAATGGACCAGAAAAGAAATCCAGAAATAAATCCACAATTATATGGTCAATTAATCTTCGACAAAGGAGGCAAGAATGTACAATGGGAAAAAGACTCTTCAACAAATGGTGCTGGGAAAACTGGACAGCAACATGCAAAAGAGTGAAACTGGACCACTTACTTACACCACACACAAAAATAAATTCAAAATGGGCGCCTGGGTGGCTCAGTCGTTAAGCGTCTGCCTTCGGCTCAGGTTATGATCCCAGGGTCCTGGGATCGAGTCCCACATCGGGCTCCCTGCTTGGCGGGTGGCCTGCTTCTCCCTCTCCCACTCCCCCTGCTGGTGTTCCTGCTCTCGCTGTGTTTCTCTCTGTCAAATAAATAAATAAAATCTTAAAAAAAAAAATAAATAAATTCAAAATGGATTAAAGACCTAAATGTGAGACCTGAAACCATAAAAATCCTAAAAGAGCACAGGCAGTAACTTCTTTGACATTAGGCTTAGCAACTTCTTTTTAGATATGTTTTCTGAGGCAAGGAAAACAAAAGCAAAAATAAACTATTGGAACTACATCAAAATAAAAAAGCTTCTGCACAGCAAAGGAAACAATCAACAGACAACCAACTGAATGGGAGAAGATATTTGCAAATGACATATTCAATAAAGGTTTAGTATCCAAATATATAAAGAACTTATAAAACTCAACACCCCAAAAACAAATAATCTAATTTAAAAATGGTCAGAAAACTTGAACAGATATTTCTCTGAAGAAGACATGCAGTTGGCCAACAGACACATGAAAAGATGCTCATCATCACTTATCATCAGGGAAATGCAAATCAAAACCACAATGTGATAGCACCTCACACCCATCAGAATGGCTAAAATCAACAACACAAGAAACAATAAGTGTTGGTGAGGTTGTGGAGAAAAAGAAACCCTCTTGCACTGTTGATGGGAATGCAAACTGGTGCAGCCACTGTGGAAGACAGTATGGGGATTCCTCGAAAAGTTAAAGGTAGAACTACCTTATGATCCAGCAATTGCACTATTGGGTATTTACCCAAAGAATACAAAAAACACTAATTCAAAGTGTTTCATGCACCCCTAATGTTTATAGCAGCATTATTTACAGTAGCAAGATATGGAAGCAGCCAAAGTGTCCATGGATAGATGAATAGATAAAGAAGATGTTCACACATGTAGATAACAGAATATTATTCGGCCATATAACAGAAGATTACATATATATGTGTATAGATGGATAGATAGATTACCAGGGGTGGGTGAGTGGGGGAAAGGGTAAAATAGGTGATGGGAATTAAGGAGTGCACTTGCCAGGTGAGGTATGGAAATGCTGAATCACTATATCACACACCTGAAACTAATATAACACTGTGTGTTAACTAATAATTAAAATAAAAACTTAAAAAAACAGTAGGTTTTACTTTAATTTTTATGTTGTACCTACACATAGATTAAAGTGTCAAATATTTTTACTATGTTTCTCTTCCATTTCTGAGTCTTCATAGCCAACTACATTCAAGTCTTTTGGGTATTTTAGTGTTTACATTCATGAATGATATGCTGATACTGCTCAATCTTGCTTTTTCCATTTTAGGCATTATCTGTTGATGTAACAATATAAAAACGGATGATCTAAGATTTAACTTTCTTTTCCCTGCTCTCACATGTGCATGTCTACCTTCTCCAATATAGTTGTGTCATTACTTAGGTGACATCAGCATTCGGTCTTTACATTAAGTTAACCAGTTTATTTATTTACTTATCTTAAAGATTTATTATTTATTTGAGAGAGAGGGAGAAAGAGAGAGCAGGGTGAGGGTCAGAGGAAGAGAGAGAGGGGGAGAGAATCTCAAGCAGACTCCCTGGTGAGCACAGAGCCTGAGGTGGGGCTGGATCCCATGGCCCTGAGATCATGACCTGAGCTGAAATCAAGAATCAGACGTTCATGGGGCACCTGAGTGGCTCAGTCAGTTAAGTGTCTGCCTTCAGCTTGGGTCATGATCCCAGGGTCCTGCTCTGCGGGGAGCCTGCTTCTCCCTCTTCCTCTGCCTGCTGTTCCCCCAGCTTGTGCTCTCTCGCTCTCTCTGTCAAATAAATAAATAAAATCTTAAAAAAAAAAAATCAGATGTTCAACTGACTAAGCCACCCAGGTGCCCCTTAACTAGTTTATTTATAGCTGAACCATGTAGAGTGTACTATCATTATGTTCCCTTTTTTTTTCTTTGTAATAATTCCTTTACTCTGATGTTAATAATTGTCCTGTATTTGTTCCCTTAGTTTTGTATGTGCATATCACAAATTATCCTAAAACTCAGTTGCTGATCTGCTCTCTGGATGTTCAAATATGTTAGGTAGTCTTTCCACTGAGTCTCTTTGAAGAGATGTTCTCTGGAGCCCCCTCCCCTATTTCAGTCTGGACTGGTGGCCCTTAGGGCCTTCTGACAAATGTCACTCTTCACTATTATCCTAGGGATTTCACTTGCCACTTTCATATATGTTGACCTCTTAGTGTCTTTTTCTTTCTTGGTTTACTCCCTTGGTTTGATGTGATAAACCCTCTAGTACAGCACTGTTTAACAGAACTTTCTGTGATGGTGAAATGTTCTATATCTGTGCTGTCTAAAAGGGTAACAACACATGGTTATTGAGTGCCTAGAATGTTGCTAGTGTGGCTGAATTTCAAATTTAATTTTAACTAAAGTTAAAATGCCACATGTGGCTGTTGGCTACTATA